AGCTGACAAATATGGTAATTCGCATTTACTTTAGTATGTCTTTTTCTAAATACTGATTTTCTGTTTTCACGGAAGTCTCTTCTGTAAAAGCGGGTGGTTGGAGAGTGCTACTGGTAGGTCCAACTTCTTTACGTTCCCTGGGGTGTTTGTGTATCTGCCCCAGCCCTGAATGGCCATGATTGTGTCGCTGTGTTTCTCTTTACTATAACAAACACACGTCATACTTTGAATGTGTTTGTCTTTTCCTGATACGGGCCTGTGGCCAAAAACAGAAAAAGAAAAATATGTACGCATCTACTCCTATATGGTCATAATGGGTTTTTTCTTTTTTTCGACAGTTCGCCGGAATTTATCATTTTCCAAAGGATTCAGGTTTTCAGGGGTAACGTTTTCTTGACACAAAGAACAAAGTTTCACAAAAACATGGATTGTATTTAGAATCACTTTAAAAGTAATAAGATGTAGAATGTGTTTACGGTATTGTTTTTATGGACTGATTTAAGGATTTGTCTTTTTTTGGGTGAGAAAGTTCAAATGTTTGTCTCGTCTACTCTGGACAGCTCATCATCACCGCTGTCGTTATCCAAGGCGTCAGACCAATCTAACTCTTCATCTTACATGTAGTTATCTTTAGAGTCTGAAAAAAATCAATAGCTTCATAATCGTCGATGAAACGATCTGATTGCTTCTTTTTTTAAACCAAAAAACCCAACGAATAAACACACAAACAAATAATCATCAAACAAACAAACACACAAACAAACAAGCAAACCGCTCTGTAATACTTACAGGTCTAAATTGTCTCAAGTGTGTTTAAAACCATGTCTTTATACTCATTATCTGTGTTTGATACGGGATATTTCGTACAGGATTTTCTTTTATGTTTTTCTTCTTCGTTTCATTTTTCTGTGGTAAACTATTGACCCACTAGGCATACTTTATACCAGGACAGGTCTATAAACCGTGGACGTGGTTCAGCCACTACTGCACTCGACTCAGAGGAATTTTTTTGTAGGACCCAAAACAGTCGAAGCTGACTCGTTTTTTTTGGGTAGGTTTTGTTGTTTTTGCTGTTGTTGTTTTGAAAACCTGTGCCGTCCCCACCAAGGCTAGGTTATTTCCAACTGGAAATCCACGACTGGATTTTGTCTGTGTTGAGATCACGCGCATCTATAAAACAGTTATTTCAATTTTCCTCTCTTTCTCATCTCCAGAGGCGATATGAACTGAGGATCGATTTCACGTTCCAAGGAAAAGACTACTATGCCAACTATAACAATTTTGTACTGTCTGGAGAACCTGAAAACTACAAACTTCAGATTTCCGGGTTTTCTGGTAATGTAGAAGACAACATGGCCATCCACAATGGGCAAGCTTTCTCAACAAAGGACCGAGACAACGAATCAACTTCAACAGACTGCGCCAATTATAATCACGGAGCTTGGTGGTACAAAAGCTGCCATCGAGTGAATCTCAACGGAAAGTGGGGCAGTACAGGGAACCAGGGCTTGTCCTGGTATTCTGTTACGAAATTTACCAACTCTGTCACCTCCAGCGAAATGAAAATTCGACCATTTGCTTCGTGAAAAATTGGCAACTCGTTCTTGATTCTTTTATTATGTATTTACTGTATACCAAGTCC